AATGCAAATGTATAGTTTCGGTAAGTCTGAATGACTTTTATTGCAGAAAACAAGAAAACACAAAGATATTTCAACTAGGTGATGAGGAGTCTGATATACAACAAATGATTCATTTAGCAGTACCGTTACCACTGCGGGATCTTTTCCTCTAACTACTGGTTTAGACACTTGATTTAAATTTGCGGCCAGCCTTGGAAAGCTGGAAATCTTGATGCCAAGCAGAAGCGAGATGAAATTTGAAACAGAGGCATACCAGCTAGAACCACAGCCTAGACCTAATTCTAGTGTTTACCCTTGGCGAGAGTTGGAAATCACAAACTCTGTAAGTAAGAAAACACCATCTCCACCTCCAGATTCCACGTTAAGCACCATGTGCGCTGACCAACAATGCTTTCTCCCTCCTACTTAATAAAAATATAATAAAAATAAGTCTACGATTGCTGCACTAATTGTAAGATACCTCTGCTTAAAGATACACCATGAAATAAAATATTTCAAGGATTTATAATAACTCTAAGAGGTTTCTAACTCAGAGAAAGTTCCAGGAGGCAAGGGTAGGTCTGTTCTAGTCTCTAGAACAGTGGGCAATCAATCCCCCAGGGCCCCAACTGTTCCCCTCCGAGGTGACTCAAAAACGCGTGCTTGAGCAATTTTGAAAAGTCACAAGTTGAGGGGCTGTGTACTAACAGAACCCTACCAGCCATCCAAATGAAGGGAGAACCATCATGCAGACATTGTGCAGACACCACACCACCTGTGGGTAAGGCCTCCCCAGTGTGCACAGCACTAGCCCTGGAAATGCCAGTCACAGGGCGTAACGATGCCCACGGGGGCTGTGCAGTGTGACGACTCTGCCAGTAATAACATCTCTACCCAACAGCTCTCGAGTAGCTCAGGAGCGTAGCAGTTACATCTTGTAAAAACTAGCAGACGTGACTTTTACACAGGCCAAGAATATCTACTAGCTCACTTCACACAAGTCAGTATGTGTCATTTCTGATGATCACTTTATCAGCAAACTTCAACAAGAATTTCAGGCAAGATTTTAGGTCAGTGAGTACTGTGGGTCTGCAAGATTCTTCTTCTTTCTACTTGAGGCTTTCTTTGAATGGTTAAAGGTTCTTTTTAAAAAAAAAAACATTTTATTTATTTTAAAGGCACAGTTACAGAAAGAGAGGGAGAGAAAGAGAAAGAGAAAGAGAAAGAGAGGAAAGAGAAAGAGGAAAGAGAGAGAGAAAGAGAAAGAGAAAGAGAGGAAGAGAAGGAAGGAAAGAGAAAGAGAGAGGTCTTCCATACACTAGTTCACTCCCCAGATGGCCACAATGGCCAGGAGCCTCTTCTGGCTTTCCCACGTGGGTGCAGGAGCCCAAGCACTGGGGCTATCTTGTGCTGCCCTCCCAAGTGCATTAGCAGAGAGCTGGATTGGAAGTGGATCTGGGAATCTGAATCAGCGTCCATATGGGACGCTGGTATCATGGGGGGCGGCTTTACCAGCTAAGCCAAAACACTGGCAGCAAAAGTTCTTATCTTCTACTTTAAGTTTACAAAACCCCTCAGAAATCTAGAAATTTTATGACACAGCTAACAACTCGGAAAGGACAAGAGTTATTAATGGGTGGAGTAGGGCATCTGGTACAGTGCTTAAGGAGAAACAACCGGGGCCTGGTGAGGTGGACAGTGCTGTCTGTGACTGTCCACCAACTCTACTTTATTTTCAGCTGTGAGTCCTAGAGGTTTGAGAGCACATTTAATAATGTACAAAGCAAAGAGGCAGAAAGAAGGGCAGTCAGGCACAAGAGGGCACTGCTCTAGTCTTTTCCACACTGCAGGTGCGGAGATCTGTTCAACACCTGTGTAAATTTCAACGCGGTCAGCCTTGTGCTAGGGAGAGAGCTGGCCTGCAATGCCATTGCCTACTGCAGAATGCTAGCAAAGATCCTAGTGATTCTGAACTAACACAAGTCATCAAAACAGTTCCAGGAATGCTCTGGTAGGATAATCCACGTTGCTCCCTGCACGCATTGCTTTAATGGTGAAATATCAGAATTATCATACAAAATAGCAACCGCTTATGTGGAATACAATGTAATCTTATACAGTCACAGCCAATGGGTTATACTCAGCAGCCAAGGCCAACCTCACGGGCGCAGCCTACATGGTCACAAAGGAGCCATCACACAGCGCTGGTACTCAGAAGGGCCTTCACTGGGTGTAAACCTCTGCTGGTGGTGACTCAAAATCCTCGGTTTGTAAGCGAGTCCAAAGAACATGAGGCTGAGCCAAGGAGGTATGCGGGAGAAAGGAAAGAGCTTTATGACTTAGTACCTTTAGTGGCACTTTATCCCTGCCTTAGGAACAAGGCGCTCACAAAATTATGCAGCAGGCCCTGTTAGCAGTGGTGATGCAAACCCCTCCCAAGCAGCCAGCCACCCTGTGAAGGAGGGAACGGAAGACTAATCAAGGAATGGCTTCTGGTATAGTGGCTAAGCCACTGCTGGAATCCCCACAGCCCATGTTAGAGTGCCCAGGATCAAGTCCTGGCTGAAGTCCTGATTCCAGCTTCCTGCTAATCCACCCTGGGAGGCAGCAGGTGAAGGCTCAAGTACTTCCATCCCTGCCACTCACATAGGAGACTTGGATTGAGTTCCCAGGCCCTGGCTTCAGATACAGTTCCAGCTGTTGTGGGCACTAGGGAAGGAAACTAAGGGATGAATATTTCTCTCTTCCTTTGAAATAAAGAAATAAGAAACAAAGACTAATCGCCAGGGACCTTGTGGACCCCTCAAACCCTCTGGTCTTAACCCTACCAGCAAATCTCCTTTCATACCTAAGGGTCCCTCTCAAAAGTCAGTTCCAGTCCCCGGGTGGCAAGATGCCCACCTCAGACTCCTCCGATAGCTCAAAGAAAGATGACCACTGGTGGGAACCAGGACACAGGACCTATATTAACAAATCACAGCATGAGGCCACAGAGTTATTAAGAAGGGTCCTTAGTAACATAGGACAAGTGCCCTGTGGTTCTGCTCCATACAAAGACAAGCCCAAAAGAAAAGTACCACTGGTTTTTATGAGCTACACCTCTCTGATACGCCACCTCTAGAACTACTGGAACCTGGGGTTCCAACCCCAGGAGGGACACAGCAGAGCAGGTTTTAAACTGGGGCTTTACTGTTTTTGATATATGGCCTAGGGCAGGTCCCCACCTCCTTTAGCCTCCTATTTCAAAGGGGATCAGCAGTGCCTTCCTCACAGAGCTTTGAAGAGGATTAAACAGTACAATGTGGTATAATTAAGTAAAACTCTTGCTTTCCCTCCTTGTGCTGTTATTTAGAAATGAGACGATGGTACACTAAGAACCCTGACAAGTGAAAGTGCTTCAAGAATGCTGATTCTGTTGCTGTCTCCTTCCTTGGCCCTCGTGCCCTTGTTCTTGAGACCAGACCCTTCATAAACCATCAGTTCCTGTCCCAAGACCCACCAGTGAGTGTATTGTTAGTTCTGCATAGGCTGAATACCAACTGTGTACCAGGGACTACAGGAATGAAAGCAGAGAGAAAAGGCCTGCCCTGGACAAGCTCACAGTCTTCTATGAGATACAGGTATTTAGCAAATACATGCTGATAAAATGGGTTAAGCGCTTTACGAAGATAAGCAGTGTGTTATGCAAGTTCTGGAAACGTATCCCTGCCTGGGAGGATGAGAGAAAAGTATCACAGAGAAGGAAGACCCTTGAGTTGGATATTTTGAAACATGGCTACGACTTTCTCAAGCTGAAAACACTGAGGAACATCAAGTAGTGGCTGCCTATCTGCAGAGCAGTGGCAAGTCTGGCATGACAGAAGCAGGGGCTGTGCAGCTTGGAAAAGGAAGCTGTGAACAGACCTGAGAACAAGGCCTTGGAATGCCCCCCTAAGGGATTAGGGCTTTTGAAAGTATGCAAGAGGAGATGAGAAAAGATCAGACAGTCCCCTGTGCTTTCTAGGGAAATGCAGGTGGTATGCAGGCCTGAAGCAGAAAAGCCTGGAAGAAAGAATCCGGAGAGCAATGAGACTTGGCAGCAGGCAGCCTCGGCCTGAGGGCTTGTGTAGGACCTGAGCCACCACTGACATAGATTCGGTGACTACTAGGAGACAGATGCTGGTAAAGAGGGTGCTGCCAAGCTTGCCAACTTGGAAGGCAAGTCAGATGGAGCCGCCAATACAGAGATCAGTGCAATGTGTGGAGCAGGTTTGAATGGAACAGGAAGTCTGCGGTACCTGCAGGACACTCAAGTGTGTGTCTAAGAGGCAATGCAAACGGAGATGTAGATCCCATGGTAGAGGCTGAGGATGGAGACACTGCTTTGGCAGGTAGTCTCATAGAGACGTCGGTTCAAGCCACAGCAGTACGATCACCTCGAGTTGATTCGAGTGCCCCAGGCCAGTGTTCCCGCACACACATTACGGTTCAGAACCACCCAGAGAAGAGAGGCCGGGAGTCAAGGCCGCTTCTCACGGACGCGGCCAAGACTGATTCCGGCCAGGGCCAGGAAACCCCCAAAACGGAACCCGGGCCGTGGGAAAAGTTCTTCCTCTCCCAACCCCCGCCTCCACCCGCCCACCGGCACTCCTGTCACACTCGCCCTCCCTCGACGCTGCCCCACACGCCTTCCTTCCCCTTCCTTCCACGCCACCCCACCTTCACGCCACCTTTTCCTTCTCCCCCCTTCCTCTCTCCTCCCGAATCTCCCTTGGCCGCCTCTCTCCTCCTCCTCTCCCCTCCACCCCTCACATGCACACCCCTTGCCCGCTACCTGCACCCCAGGCCCCACCTAGCCCGCGACGACGGGAAGGCCATCGCGCCCAACTCACCAAACAAAGAGCGTTTCTGCTCCTCTGGAACAGGAGCCGAGGCCCGAGGGGTAGACTTCCGGAAGCTGCCCAAGAAGAGGCCCGCGCCTACACATTTCCAGCAAGGGCAAGGTAACTGATGCGGCTGTCCCGGGCTGCAGTGTCTCTGATTCAGGCCTGACCCCGGAGGCACTGGGTCTCACTCAGGCTCCGCCAGCAGCATCGAGGACGGCTCCTCAAGACTTGAACAGGCTTTTGGGCAGGAACAGATGAGGAGCAGACTTCCATCTGAGGATGGCTGAGCAGGAGATGTACCTACGGGTACAATTCCTGGTCACAGCGCAGGGCGCAAATTCACTCCCCACAGGCAGCTGCCATGGCGCCATGGGACACATCTGCATGCTGCTACGTCCAGTGTGGGGCGCCCAAGAGCCGATTCCAGTCCCGCTACTCCAGGTTGGGAACCAGGGAGGCAGCCGCTGATGGCCCAGGTACTTGGATCCTGCCTCCTTCCCTCCTGGGAGTCCTGAATGGAGTCCTTGCCTCCTGGCTTCTGCCTGGCCCAGCGCTGGCCTTTGAAGCCGCCTGGGGAGAGAAGCAGTGCATGGGGCATCGCAAGCACTCTTGCTCTCTCTCAGTGATTGCCCATCTGGTGGTTCGCCCCCCTCCCAGGTGGCTACAAAGGCCAGGGCTGGGCCAGGCTGAAACAGAAGCCAGGGACTTTATCTGGTGCCCCATCCTGAGAACCTGCCACCGGGCCCCTGGCTCCTGAATACTGGCTCCGGATCTGCTCAGCTCCCATCATTGCGCCAATTTGCAGAGGACCAGCAGATGAAAGACTTACTTTCTCTTTCTCTCTCTCTCTCTCTCTCTCTCTCTCTCTGCATATAACTCTGAATTTCAAATAAACAAATAAGAACTTTATATATAAAAAAAAGGGGGGGGAAGACATAGCTATAAATAAAATACTACATCACGGCCAACTACTAGAGTTTATATCGAACTTGATACTATATGCATCACCTGGCCTATTAACACAGAACTCCTGTGGGAAGGATAGTTAAAACCCGTGATTTGCAAACCCTTCCAAAAAGGAGACAAAGGGGAAAAATCTTCCATCTCATCCCTTCGGACCAACATTTTCCCAACATGCAAAACAAATGCATCATAAAGAAAACGGCACATACGTATCTGTCATGACTGCGCTGTCACATTCCTCAACAAAATATTACCAAACGCGCTCCTGAAGCACAACCAAAGCTTAGCACGCTGGGTGCAACTGAGAGGTACTCCAGGAATGCAAGGATGGCTACCATACACAATCAATATCTCACAGAACAGAATAAACATGGGGAAAGCCCACAAAGTATCCCTATAGACACAGAAAACCTAGTTCACAAAAACTCCCACCACTTTGGCCATATCAAAATAAAAAGGAATCATCAAATCAGGAACAGAAGCTAAACCTCGGCTTGACAATGGCCTCTTACTGAAAACCCACAGAGCGCTAACATCACACCAAATGCCAGTTAACCGGAAACTGTCCTCCTAGACCAGGAAACAGACGAGCGTTTTCGCTCTTATTCCTCCCCATCAGCAGTCTCGGGGGTCTCGAGCAGGGCGGCTGGGCCATCAAAACGCAAACAGACGGGAACGCGGGGCCGCTCCGGGAGGAGACGGAGCCCCCTCTGCTCTGGCACAGCTGCTCGCACACTGGGGAAAGTTCCAGACCGACCGTCCACACAGCAAGACCGCGACTCCACCCGCGCCTTCGGGACCCGAGAGCAACAGGCACGCCAGGCAGCGAAGACTCGCAGCGGGAAACCCCAACAGCCCCGCGTCACTCACCGCCAAGGGGGCCCGGTCTGCTGGCGGCACAGAGGCCCGCGAAGGCCGCTGCTTCCACGAGGGGCCGAAGAAGAGAACCGCGCCCGGGAAACGGCGCGGCAGCCTCGGGCCGCAGCCTCTCTGAGCCCGGCCTGACCCCGGGGGCGCTGGGTCTCCCGCAGGCTCCGCCGGCAGCGTCCAGGACGGCTCCGATGGCTCGCGCGGGCTCTCCGGCAGCAGCGGACGGGACCCGCGAGGACTCCTACCTGAGCGCCGCGGGCCACGAGGGGCCACTTCCGGGGCACAAGGGGCCACTTCCGGGGCACAGCGCCGGGCGCAGGCGCACTCCCCACGGGCGGCCGCCGTGGCGCCACGGGACGCACCTGCGCGCTGCCTGCCGCGTCCAGCGTCCGACGCCCCAGGGCCGCTGGCAGTGCGGCCTCTGCAGCCTGTGACCCAGGGACCACGCCTCCCGGCCTCCTGGGCGCCCTGAATGGAGGTCAAGCCTCCTGGCTTCTGCCTGGCCCGGCGCTGGCCGTTGGAGCCGCTTGCAGAGAGAAGCAGAGCACCGGGCATGGCGAGCCCTCTTGCGTCTTGCTCTCTCTCACGGATCGTCCCTCTGGGGGTTCAACCCCCAGGTGGCTACTAAGGCCGGGGCCAGGCCGGGCTGAAGCAGAAGCCGGGGACTGTATCCGGTGCTCCACTCTGGGTTCAGGGGCCTGAGTCCTTGGGCCGTCTCCCTCTGCTTTCCCAGGCATGGCAGCAGACAGCTGGATCCCACGGGGAAAGGTTCCCAGGAGGGGCCGGCGCTGTGGGGGAGCGGGAAAAGCCACCACCCGCAGCGCCCGCATCCACATGGGCGCCGGTTCGAGTCCCGGCTGCTCCACTTCCAGTGCCGCTCTCTGCCGTGGTCTGGGAAGGCAGCAGAAGAGGGCCCAAATCCCTGGGCCCCCGTACCCATGCAGGACACCCCAGGGAGGCTTTTTTAGACAATTGTATTAGAGTTTTCATTATTGTGTTCAGTTTCGTAATAAAGATTATTTGCTTTTATATCATATATGATTGTTTTCAGTTTGATGGTGTGGTGATGTTTCACTCCACTTTTTAAGACTGTGTTGGTCATATAAACAGCAAGGGTTGACTATGTGTGTACAACTTAATTAAGTTGGATTCAGTGGTGAAGTATGACACTTTTTTTATTACATGAATATGTTACATTTTGAGAAGTTATGATGAAATTCTGTGTGTAGCGGCGGCCGCGGGGGACAAAGGGCGGGCGGATCGGCGGGGAGGGGGCGGGGCGCGCGGCCAGGCCAGGCCCGGGGGCTCCGCATGCTGCAGCTGCCCCCGGGCGCCCCCGCCGCCGCCCGAGCCGCGGAGCCGCGCGGAGCCGAGCCCGCGAGCTAACCCGAGCCAGTGGCCCGGAGCCAGCCGGCGGGCGTCCCGGAGGCGGCGGCGCAGGGAGGGGCCCGGCGCGCGCGCGCACGTGGCCCCGGCCGCCGCCATGGCGGACAGCGGCCCCGCGGGGGGCGCGGCGGTGGCGGCTCCGGCCCCCGGACCGGGCAGCGGCGGCCCAGGGCCCCGCGTCTACTTCCAGAGCCCCCCTGGGGCCGCCGGCGAGGGCCCGGGCGGCGCCAAGGAAAGGTCACCGTGAAGTACGACCGCAAGGAGCTCCGCAAGCGCCTCAACCTGGAGGAGTGGATCCTGGAGCAGCTCACGCGGCTCTACGACTGCCAGGAGGAGGAGATCCCAGAGCTGGAGATCGACGTGGACGAGCTCCTGGACATGGAGAGTGACGAGACCCGGGCGGCCAGGGTCAAGGAGCTGCTGGTCGACTGTTACAAACCCACCGAGGCCTTCATCTCTGGCCTGCTGGACAAGATCCGGGGCATGCAGAAGCTGAGCACACCCCAGAAGAAGTGACGCTCCCCGACCCGGGCGAACGGTGGCTCCCGCGACAATCGCTGCCCCCGACCTCGTAGCAACAGCAATACCGGGACCCTGTGGCCAGGCCTGGCGCCATGAGCAGGGCTCCCCGTGCCCCTGGCTCAGGGGCCTCCTCCCAACCCCTGGGTTTTCCATTTTGGGGGTTTTTTATTGTTATTATGCTGACGGGACTTTTTGTGTTTTTATATCGACGCTGCGGCGCGGGCCCTTTAATAAAGCTAGGGTAAGCCTTTAAAAAAAAAAAAAAGAAATTCTGTGTGTAGTGATTTTTTTTATTTTTTAAAAAATGTAATGGAATGAATTAGCATCATTTTCCGATGATAAATTCAGAAAATATTGTTTATAGTTAAATTATTTTTAAAAAGAGAAGCGGGAGAGAGAACATGTGTACCTGCACATATTCCAAAACTTTAGATGGGTTGCTAAAACCAACTTTTAGCTATGAATTTCAAGGTAAAATAAATCATTACATATTAAAGCAATCCTGAATCTATTTTTTCAGTTACTAGCAATCATCTCATATTGTGCCTTCAGGTGAAATGATCAAATAATAACTTTATCTTTCAGATTTTATTCCCTCGCATTTCTGGTATTCACTAGATGATACACACTGTTTTACAGATATGATAATTAAGTCTATTCTTTTTTTTTTTTTTTTTTTTTTTTTTTTTTTTGACAGGCAGAGTGGACAGTGAGAGAGAGAGACAGAGAGAGAGAAAGGTCTTCCTTTGCCGCTGGTTCACCCTCCAATGGCCGCCGCTGCAGCCGGCGCACCGCGCTGATCCTGGCAGGAGCCAGGAGCCAGGTGCTTTTCCTGGTCTCCCATGGGGTGCAGGGCCCAAGCACCTGGGCCATCCTCCACTGCACTCCCTGGCCATAGCAGAGAGCTGGCCTGGAAGAGGGGCAACCGGGACAGAATCCGGCGCCCCAACCGGGACTAGAACCCGGTGTGCCGGCGCCGCAAGGTGGAGGATTAGCCTATTGAGCCACGGCGCCGGCAATTAAGTCTATTCTTAGTTTTATAATCTGGGTATCATATTTCCTGTTACGCTTTTATTGTTTATGTAATTAATCCGATAAAATTCTTAAATTTTTGTTTAATATGTCTGCATTTCTTTTTTGTTACTCTTGCATCTGATTTACCCAAACGTGGAATATGCACCTGTGTTTTAATGGAAATGAGAGAAAATGTTCAATGTTGATGTTTGTTACAGTCTCAGAAACTAACAGGTTCACTGACAGACTATCAGAGGACAAATAGATGACATCTGAAATAATATATTGGAAATCTATTTGGTATTTTATCCATGATCTCATGAAGTTTTAGAAGCTAAATTAAATGCACACATACCCTCTCCCCTCACACACAAACATATCTGTTAGGGTTTTCCTAAAAGAAATGATCCATAGAGGGAGCTTGTATGAACACTGGAATCTTTTTTTTTTTTTAATTATCTATTTGTTTATTTCACAAGCAAGGAGGGAGGGAGAAGAGAAAGAGAGAGAGAGAGAGAGAGAGAGAGAGAGAGAGAGAGAAGCTATTTTCCATCTACTGGTTCACTCCCCAAATGGCCACACTGGCCAGGGAAGGTGCAAGGACAAGCCAGGAGCCCAGAACTCCATCCAGGTCTCTCACTTGGGTGGCAGGAACCCATTACTTAGAGCATTATCCTCAGTCTTCCTAGGCGCATTAGTAGGAATCTGAACTGATAGCAGGGCAGCCAGGACTTTGCATTTCCCAATATTATTTTTAAAATATATCAAATAGCCAATAAGTCTTTGATCATACATTTTGTCCTATCAATAGTGTGTCTTACTTGAGCAGCCAGTAAAGTAAAGGGAAATACATTAGATGAAGTGAACACTCCAAGCATTTTACTACATTGACAACTGCCATCCCCACATTAAATCACTTGTGTTAGAATCACAAGATGTAGAATATCTGGTGTTTGGGGTCAGCATTGTGGCACAATGGGTTAAGCCACCACTTGGGACACTGGCATTCTGCATCAGAATGCCGGTTCCACTCCTGGCTGCTGGTGCAAAGTCCTGGCTTTCCTCCCACCCGCAACCCTCCCAACTCCTGCTCCCTCTCCCATTCCATTCACATCAAGATTCATTTTCAATTATCTTTATATACAGAAGATCAATTTAGTATATATTAAGTAAAGATTTCAACAGTTTGCACCCACACAGAACATAAAGTGTAAACTACTATTTGAGTGCTAGTTATTGCAGTCCTAGGTTCATTCTTAATATTTTTTTGGTGTTGCATGGAAGTGGGGTTTATCACTGGGCTGTGATAAACACACTACAGGGTCAAGGTCAAACCCTTTCATTCACAATGGGAAATAGAGTGAGCAGGATCCAGGAAACTTCTCTAAATCAGATAACTACCCACTACACAGAGTGGGACAAAATGCCAGGTCTTCACCATGGAATCCACAGTCATCTCATTATTTTATTCTCTCACCCTAGAACCACGGATGGCAGGGCCCATTTTAAAGGCACATGATTTGACAGAGACTAGAAACAAGTATAGCAGGATCTATCACGGTACAGCAGGAGTTAAAAATGATGCCTCAAGTGAAGCACGGACAAGATTTCATCAGAAAAGCGGCTACTAGGGGTGAGTGAGTCCTCATGGATCAAAGGAGGCTCTGCCCAGGGATGAGGCCATGAGGGATGATCCCACCGCATGGAGACCACACCTACAAACCTCACTCAGTGTTTCTCCTTCCAGATTCAGTCTGCCTTTTTCTGCACATTATGCTAAGAAAGCACAGAGAATTCCAATGAAATGCTATGTGTTTCACTCATAGCAATGACCTGACCAAATCTCACTTAAAATTGAGATGCAGTGACAACAAGCTAATAAAAATAAATCAAATTAGGGACTCATTTAAAATCTAATTTCTAGGATCATGCGTTTGCTGCAGGAGTTAAGATACCCGCATGCCATACTAGAGTGCCTGGATGTCAGCCCCAGCTCTGCTTCTGATTCCAGATTCCTGCTAATTTGACCCTGGGAGGCAGCAGGTGATGGCTCCAGAGGCTGAGTCTCCCATGTGAGAGACACTGGATACAGTTCTAGGTACCTGGCATTTGGAGACTGAACCAGTTGATGGAAGAAAGATCTCTCTCTCTCTCTCTCTCTCTTTCTCTCTTTCTCTGTGTGTGTGTGCACGCGTGCATGTCCCTCTCTTCTTTTTTCAAATAAAATGTTTTTTTTTATTTTTCGCTTTTGCAAAGTTTATTTTTTATTTATTTGAAGGGTAGTGTAATAGAGAAGCAGGGGGAGACACACACAGAGGGAAAGACAGAGTTTCTCCCCAAAATCCACTCCCTCAACTCCCCCCCACCACACTCCCATTAGTAATCAGCTCTTTCCAGATTTAACTGGAAAATTGAGTGTTCACCTCTGATCCATCTTTTTGTCTGTATCCCACATTCAATTTCCCTATAAATTGAGTTACCTCTGCCTTCAGAATCTAAACATCTCTTGCCACCCTCACTACTGTTTCCTTGGCTCTGATTGTGGCGTAGTTCAGTCTCCTAACTTCTCTACTTGCCTTCTCCCTGGCTGTCCTGTGTACTACCATTCACCCGATAACGAGATCCATTCAAATAAAACCCAAGTCCTATCACATCACTCCGGCTATGAGCTTCTGACCCCTCCTGGAGGGAGAGCAGACGGCTTCACTGTCACCTACGGATCTCGTGATGGGCCTGCACTTGCCACCCTCTGATCTTCCTGTCTACCACTTTCTTCTGTCTACTCAACTACATAGACACTAGGCTCCTGCTAATATCTTGAACGCACCAGGAACACTTTAAGTTTGGAAACATTGGTCTGGCTCTTTCCAAAGCACTAAACGTATTTCTCCAAAATAGCTTTATGGGATGTTCTGCCACCTCCTGTAAGTCATTACCCAAAAGTCATTTTCTCATTGAATCTCCCCTTCCACCAGGTGTTCACTAGGCTACCATTTCCAGGTGGAGAGTTTCCCCTGTGCTGTGATATAAAAAAACTCCAAATGTGTGGCTCCCTTCTTTAAAAAAAAATAATAATTCTTTATTTGAAAGCAGAATGACAGAGAAGGAGGGGGAGAGACAGAGAGCTCTTCCATCAGCTGGTTCATTCTCCAGATGGCCACTAGGATGTATAATCCTAATAGAGATCATAGAATTTCACAAAACGCCTTCTTCTTTTAGTACTCAAACATTAAATATATGTTCTTTTTGTTGTCTATTATAAGTGCCATTGTTTTTGCAATTTTGATGGTGTTTGTTGGGGATTTTACTATTTAAAATGCCCCCAAGCAAAAAAAAAGGGGGGCGGGGGAGAAAATGCTGTAGCCATTTGGAATGAACCAGCAAATGGAAGATTCTCTCTCTCTCTCTTTCTCTCTCTGTCTCTCCCTCTCCCCTGGCTCCATAACTCTGCCTTTCAAATAAATAAAGTGTTTTTAAAAACCAGAAGCCTCAGACTTCTAAAAAAGTAAAAATGGCCCCAAGAATAATGGTAAAATACTGATTGGTTTCCTATGCACACACACACAAAAAGTACACAAATGCAAAATGTAGTTTTTGGAGAAAATATGTGTGCTAGATAAGCACGGGCTGCAGTGTTGCTGGCCAGCAGTTTTATGTTAATAAATTAATAATACAGCACATCAGAAAGAGCAGAGCATCCATTGATGTGTGCAGGGGGCTGCCTGGAAAATGTTCAAGCCACATCCACTCTATGGGGTGAAGCGATGCCAAGGATGAAAACAGCAGCTGTGCGGTTCATCAGGTGATAGCTGATAACAACAGAAAGTTGAGAGAGCAGCAGAGTGGCCAGCTCTCTCCTGAGAGTAGTGCTGGCTGACAGAGGAGACAACTGCAGATCACGGGGAGCAGAGCAATGTTTAAAACCCTCCTCGGCGCTACAGGAAAAGAATATATAGAAGAATAGGTTTTCAATGCTGAAACCCTAACCCCAACCTAAATAGGTTTAGGGTTAGCGTTAGAGTTAGGGTTACTTCCCAAGGACATTGGCAAACAAATCTATAATACGAATTATACTCGGGTTTTTCTTAAATATTTATCAAACTGAAAGGCAGAATGACAGGGATGGGGAAGAGAGCACGAGAGTGAGAGAGAGAGAAAGAATGATTCCATCCACTGATTCACTTCTCAAGTGGACACAACAGTCAGGCCTGATGCAGACCAAAGCCAGGAGCCTGGAATCTATCTGGGTCACCAGGGTGGGAAGGAAGGGGCCCAGGGACTTGGGCCACCTTCTAGAGCTGCTTTCCCAGGTGCATTAGCAGGGAGCTGGACCTGAAGCAGAGCAGCCAGGACTGGAAGCAGCACTCAGGTAAGAGATGCGGGTGTCTGTCACAGGCAGTGGCTTAACCTGCTGCATCACAATGCCAATCCAGCACTTCAGTTTTGACCAAAAAAAAAAAAAAAAACAAAAAAAAACCAAAAAAAAAACCCAACCAGAGAACTGCAGCTTTCAGTAATTCAATATTCATGGCAACTTTGTAGAGAATAAATACCAGGAGTAACAAGAGTTGACTACACAACTTGAAAGCCTACCAAACTGCTATGATTCATTATGCCCCAAGTTTCCATTAAAACCAGAAAATAAGAATTATCTAGGTATCCCTGTCCTAATACAATGGGAAAAGAAAGAGGGAAATATACAAAAATTCTAAAGAAAAAATCAAAGCTGGTATTATTTGAAGAAAATATTCTGGAAGGATACTTCAAAAAGTTCATTAAAAATGAAATCAGATGTTTGCTTTTTTTGCAAAAAATAATGAAATCCATGCAAAGTTTTTTCATAAGTCCCATTCTCCATGAACTTTTTAAAGAATGCTTATTTAACTAGAAATCCAAGGTAACCAAATAATTAGTTATTAAAAATTATAAAGAATTCAATAGTTGTTCTGGATATAAAGTGAATATAAATTCAATATCACTTCTTCAGTTAACCAATTATGTGTTGAGAAATAAAATAAAAATACTACAACTTCAAATACCTGCAGAAATATAAGCAAGAATAATTTTAGTCAAGTAATACTTATTGCCCTTTGTAAAATCTACAAATTTTTACTAAGTTTTTTAGAAAATAATTTCAATCAGTTGGCAAATATACCATTGATGACACAAAGACAACTCTCAAAATTGACTCTTAAAGTTTACAGTTACTTTAAATTTTAATAAAAGTTTAGATAAACATAAAATTATTCTGAGATGCTCTGGAAGGAAAAATGAAGAAGAATTGCTATGAAACCTTTCAAAAGTGAAAAATAACTCAGAGAGATAGACTGTAGAGGATCTCAATAGGCCAAGAACAAAAAAAGAGAATTCTATAGTAATTGCATCACTGTGATGGTAGCAAAATCACAAGGCAATGGAAGTCATCGAAAAATATTCTAATGTGAGAAATACCTTCATTTTGGAGTTCCCCTCATGCTGATAAAAGACTCCTCCACAGCCACTTGTTTTCTTGTGAGTCCAGAGTCATAACTGGGCTAGCCCCACACCGCGTGGCTCGACGCCTCTTCTCTCAGAAGCCACTAATTTCAGTCTTTGGGGCTAATTCTAGATCTTCCTGCTTCCCTATTACAACTCTCAGATCATTTCTCCCGCCTGCATGAAACACCCAGCTCTGCCTCCTGCTTCTCCTTGGCACCTCCACGTGACGCCTTCCTACCTGACTTCTCCTTGGCACCCTGCACCTCTGTAAACCCGAGTCACCTGCCCTCATTCGTTCTATAGTCCAGTACCTGACCCATAGTCTTCCTAAGACCCTAACACCATCCAGGATGGCTTCAATTTTGAAATGATGGTTTGCTTCACATACAGCCTCATGGTTCATGGTTAACATCTCTTCTTGCAAACAGAAGGAGTTAAATAAGCATAAGAGATAAGAGGAGTTATATCCAACTGACAGGTTGGGGCTAAACCAACAAAGACAAGACAAAAAGAGGATTTGCCTGTATGTGGAAGATTAACCATCAGGCGACAGCACCACCTGCGTGCAGAACTGACCAAGCTGGAAGCAGCCAGCATTTTTCTTTATGCGTGCTCCTAGCTCAGGCCTCGGCCCACTGTGCATTGTCCCATCCCCTTGGCTCTAGCTACTGCTGGTTCCCAGCAAGTGTTTCATGTTTTCTCCTTCCAAAATTTGTTTTCTAAAATACCCTGACACTTTAGTCAGTGTACGTGGTAGCCACCATGCTGGTGGTGGCTTGGGTAGCTTTTCCCAAGACCAATCCTTTTATTTTGGATAGCATCTGTCATAGCTCAGACAAACCTTTTACATTTCAGGGATCTTTGGTCTCTACAGAATTTAATGCAAGGGTGATGGGTTCACACGACCCCTCAGAGACATACAGTTGCCTTGAAACGGAACAATCTCTTTCTCCACGACATCTGCCTCCTCTGGAGGTTCTGCACATGAGCAGAAAGCTTTGTCTTGATGCATGTCAGCTGCAAGTCGTGTCTCAATGCGCTGGCCACTGAAACCCACATCAGCATGAGGGCTGGAGAGCCAGGTGGCAGAGGCATGAGAGGTGGTGGGAGAAAGCCAGTATTTCCTTTACTCCCAGTGTTTGTTGTGAGGTCTTTTTCAGGGGTGGGAGCTGCCGCTGTAGTAACAGCACTAAAATGAGAGCTAGGAAGAATCTGGGTTTCATGTGGGGTTGCTGTGCAATTTCTCGTCTGCGAGAAAATTCTTCATGGCTTGAATGCGCCTTCAGGGCTAGTAATGCTGGCATATTGGTTTGGATCCTGAGATAATGGGTTCTTCCCAAACCTGACTAATCTGCAAATACTGTTCCTCCCCAGAGTGTGACAAAGACCTGCTGATTGACATCCTGACTCAGCGCTGCAATGCCCAGAGGCTGATGATTGCAGAGGCCTACCAGAGCATGTACGGCAGGGTGAGGCCTCTTCCTTGACCTTTGCTGGGGGCGGGCTCCTGAGACGTGGCCACGTCTGTCACGTCTGTCATTCTCACAGATCACAAAGATTTCAGACCTCACTGTGTGTCAGAAATAGTTTGTATTCCTAAGCTGTATCGTGAAATGTACACGGGCGCACTTGCAATACTGCATGGAAAAAAAAATGAGAAGCTAAGTTTGGGTTGGTATGGGAAATTTTGAAAGCCAGGCATTTTTTTTTTTCATAATTCACATTTCCCATGACTTTCTGCAGTGCCCTCGTGTGTGTGTGTGTGTGTGTGTGTGTGTGCTCACACTCATGGTGATCACAGCTCTTTCCCAAAACTCACGCAAGCACACCCAGAGTGAGTTTTGGTGACCTTATGCTGCTGGTTTGTCCATTAAGGCTAAAAGTGTGCTGGGAATGCCCCAGTGTGGCACTTTCAGAAGGGACAAAAAGAACTAATGACCACCAGGTCAAAAAATAACAACTCGCCCTGCAATTCTGCTCAGGCCCCTGCCTCCCTCTCCACCAAAGCAAATTCTCCAAGGCTTTTCTTCTCCACAGCATGGGGTTAGAGAGACCATTACAAAAGAATGGCAGTTTAAAAATAGTTTTAAGGCCAGGAAACCATCCGTGGTGTTTGTGAAGTAATCACATTCTAATTTCAAAGCAAGAGCCATTAAAGAGCCCTTGCTTTTGTTATGCATTTAAACCACAGATTGAGAACAAAAACTCTTCTGGCCCACAGGGCCTGGAATAGCAATTACTTTGTCAACTGAGCACTCTGGATGAAACACTATCATAAAACTTTCTCTTTAGAGCCAGTCCACGGAAACTCCATCTCCAACCCTCAGTCTTTGAACAACTATAACACGAGGATGTTCAAAAAAGTTCACAGAAATGCATGTTAGGAAACAACCATGCATGTATTTCAAAATCTTTTGCAGCAAAACCAGCTTATCTTTGAACTCCATTTTTCCATGAATTTTATTAAGTTCATGAAATAAAAGGTAGCCCTCCATTTTAGAATGAATAAATAATCCAAAAAGCCACTACGAACAGTGACATTAGTTGCATTTTTTCAAAGGAGAACAGGTACTTATTTTTTTTTTTTTAACATAAGACTCTTCCCTGACCTTCTGCTCCCATGACACCACAGCTAGATTTTTGGAAAGAGAATGTCAAAGTTGCATCATGGGCAATCTAAATCGGTTTCTATACAAAGTGCTATAAGGGTTGCCATTTTTCAGTAACTCCCTAAAGGTTTATATTCCTCTTTGCTTTTGATATAACAAGTTAATCTAGGCTAAAGCATTACTTTATCAAATGCTGCAAAACTGTAATGACACAAATTAAAATAATGAAGAAATGAGTTGCATTTAAAATGTTATGCTATAATTAAGCACTTTCCACTATGCATGCAAGGCTACTTCAAAATGTTTGTGGAAAATGGAATTGAAAGATGTCTAGGGGCAGGTATTTGCTGCAATGGTTATAATAGCTGTTGGGACACTGGCATCTCATATCATAGTACTGGATTCCAGTGCTGGCTCCCCTTCTGACTTCTGGCAGCCAGTGATGGCTCAAGTAGTCAGGACCCTTGCCACCCAAGTGGGAGGTGCTCCTCCCACATGACCCTCCCCCTTTCTGTTTCTGTCTCTCTGCCCTTCAGATGGATGGATGGACAGATGTTAGATAGGTAGAGATTTAAAAGACACTTTTTTTGGCACAAAAATGTTTTGAAACCCAAGCATGGCTTCTTTTCTTTAAAGATTTATTTATTTATTTAATTCAAAGTCAGAATTATGGTGAGGTTGGGGGGACTCTTCCATCCACTGGTTCACTCCCCAAATGGCCACAACAGCCAGGGCTGGGTCAGGCGGAAGCTAAGGAGTTCATCCAGATCTCCCAAGCAAGTGTAGAGGCCCAAGCACTTGGGGCCACCTTCTGCTGCCTTCCCAGGCAAACTAGCAGGGAGCCAGATCGGAAGTGGGGCAGCCAGGGCTGGAAACAGCGCCCATATGGGATGCCACAATCGCAGGCGGCATCTTACCCACTGTGCCCCAATGCTGGCCCCCAAGCATGGTGGTTTCCCATGACTGTAGAGACTCCTTGTAGGAGGTCTCAGGGTGAAGACTTCACTTTGCTGAATAGCCCCACCCCTACTTCTGCACATCTTGGCTGACTGACTAAACTGCCCACACTGAAAGACACGGAACCACACTGCCCCTTTCCTCTGAAACACCAGTGTCACACAGCCAATCACCACGTCCTGCAAATTCTTTAGCACTTCACATTTCTCTCTTCCTCACTTACACAGTCCTCAGTTGGACCTTTGTTCTGCGCCCCCACTAAGCCAAATTTCCCTGCTGCCCTCATGCCCTTCCCACTCATGTCCACCATCCAAAGAAGCCAGAATGACTCAAAGTCTAAACTTTTCACAGAACGCGTTGCCCACTTTAATCCCTGAGTGTTTATCCCAGTAATCCCCCCAGGTATACCCAGATGTTCATGGAATGAACCCAAATACCTTCCCAGGGCACACAGAACCTTGCTGGCTTTGTTTCTGGTCTCCATCTTTTTTTTATTAAAGATGATTTATTTATTTGAAAGGCAGAGTGACAGAGAGAAAGAGAGAGAGAGACAGCCAGAGAGATCTTCCATCCACTGGTTAACTCACCAAATGGCCCCAACAACCAAGGCTGGGCCAGGTCAGTGCCAGAACCCTGGAGCTCCATCTAGGTCTCCCACATGGGTGGCAGGGGCCCAGGCATTTGGACCATCTTCTGCTGATTTTCTAGGTGCATTAGCAGGGAGCAGAATCTGAAATAGGGCAGCCAGGACTCAAACAAGCATCCAGTACTGGATGCTGGCAAAGCAACTGTGCCACAACACCAGCCCCTCTGGGCTCCATCTTAACACTCCTCCCCTCCTCTCACACTCAGCTGTGGCCAAATGGAACTGCTTGTAGGTCTCCAGACCAACCTGCCTGCCCCTCACCTTTATTCAAGGCACTCCATCTGTCTGCGGTGGCCTCTCATTGTCACAAACTACCCACCTGTCTTCATCCTAAACGCCATGCCTCACACCCTCCCCGCAAACAGAGTGGTGAGTCTTGAGCTGCTAAGGCGTCCTCTTCACCACTTCCTCACATCACATCTTCAGTGTGGTTAAGTCCGTTTCACTCTAGCAGGAAGTCTTGAAAGTTGAAATGGCTCCTGCTCATCCTAGAGTTCAGCACCAATGTCTAACATCAGATGGCTTAATGAACATTTGTTGAATGATGCTATGAAGGCACAGAGCTACAGTGCCTCCAATAAGAGGCAATTGGGCTCTGGAAGCTCGCAGAAACCTTCCCAGCCTGTTGCCCTCACCTTCTGCTCTGGGCTGGATGCCCTGTTGGTCTGTGTTACTTTACTTCCACACCTTGCTGCCCCCAGCCTCCTGGGACAGCAGGGATTGGATCATTTGCTGCTATCCCTCCAAGAGCTCAACGAAGGTCTGACATAGAAGAGGTGCTTCATTCATATAAAAAGGGATTCTAAGAAATTATATTCTGCCTTTTTATGTTTTTTTTTTTTTTTATTTAAAAACCCAATAAAAGGAAGGCCTCCTCTTATATCCACTCTGCAGTTAAGGTAACTGCTCATGGGCGATCTGGATTTCTCTTCTCCTCATGCCTTTACGTAGCCACTACCGCTGAATCTGCCTGACCTTCCACTAGGCTTCCTTGTTCTCCCCCACTACTCACATGCACAATCACTGCTCCCATTTTCCATTTGCTGCTTTCCCCTTCCTGGGGTGAGAGTGTACAGATTATCTTCCATGTTAATCATGGATATTTTTATTTCCTGTTAACATGGGTAGTCAAGAGTTGACAGAATGATGCTCTTGGCTGCTGAGTAAAGCACACAGGCGTGCTCCATAAATGCTTGTGACTTGATATTCCACAGGAGTGCAGAGCTGCCGAGTTGCACCAACAGCTCTGCCTCACCCACAGCAGAAACCAATCCCCAGACTCAGCTGCAAAGCCATTTGAAAGGCTGCTGATTGGCATATTTTGCAACACAATTAATATGGTTGCTATGGATCTTCCACACCATACAAGGGCTGGTCCACTGACAGTGTAAGGAGACCAAAAGAACAAGAAAATACCTTTGAGACAGGGAGAAGGATGAGCCAAACTCAAGGTTTATAATCAGACAGTGATCCCCAAAGGAGTTCAAATGCAGCACTGAAGCAATTTATTTTCTCATTTTCATCTGGAATGGGGATGCATCAGTGCTGATTTCTATCATTCATTTAACCCACGTTGTTGGTTAGGTAATTTACTGCAGAGGCTAATTTGCACAAAGAAAATTTGAGCCAAGGTTATCCGACTCTAAGTCATGTCTTCCATAGCTTCTCGGTCATGCCCATGGTTCTCAGTTGAATAAACAGTAGACTTCATAGGGCAGACATCTGTATTTCTAATTCTCTAATATCCTGCAAGGTCTTACTTTAAATGTCAACTACTCAAGAGGGCAAGATCTATCTAAAATTAGCACCCACTGCAAGGCCTGGGCTGGCCCCCACAGCCCCTTACCTGTTCTTATTTTTGTCCACAACGCTCATCACCTCCTAACCTATGTAGTATATTTACCTGTTTGAATTATTATTTGTCACTTCCTTCTAAAATACAAGCCCCGTGAAGGGTGTAGTCTGTTTTGTTCCCAAATGTGTCCCCAACAACAGTGGCAGCCACAGAGTTGGCTTTATGAACTGAACTGTGTTCCCCTAAAAGCCCATGTGTTGAAGCTGCAATCCCCAACATAACTGTATTTGGAGACAGGGACTTAAGGGAGTGATTAAGGTTAAGTGAGGTCACAGGGGTGGCTCCTAATCCAGTAGGGCTCCTGTCCCTTAGAAGAAGAGACTGTAGGGCTGTGTAAACACAGGGAAAGGGCACCCAAGGACACAGAAGAGGTAGCCCCCTGCCACCTGCCAGCCAGGACAA